ATAGTTATTTATTACTATTATAATGAGATTGTGGTTTAGAAAAAGTTAAAAAAAAAAAAAAGAACACTGCCAAACGGCAGTGTTTTGGTGTTGAGCACCACGGTGCTCATCCTGAAACCAAATCCGAGATCGAGAACGGAAAACACGGAAAAAACATCACTAGGCAACATTGACTTTGACTTTTGTTTAATGCATTTTATTCTTTTTGTCTCTCACTAATACAATTTATCATTATTTGTAAATATGAAATAAAAAGTTTTGTGCCTTTTTTTATGAAAAAAGGAACTTAAAAAAGGCTTCAAAAATTATTTCCAGTTTCTAGAAAATCGTAATATTTTCTAAAAATTAATTTTGAATATTTATTAGTTGATATTAAATGTAAACTTCATTAAAACAAAATACTATTAAAGAATAACATTGCATAGAACGTAAAATTATAATAACACAAAATAAAATTCAAGCTCAATTTTTGTTTTGCTTTAACTTAATATTTATAATAATTTGGCTGATTTCTTGTCTTAACACAATAATCATATATCGATGAATCACTTTTTGCCACCCTCCACCATACTAACTAGCATTGGTTGTTGCCAGCTAATAACCACTATTGACTACCATAATTAATCACCATTGACCAGAGCACCACCAACAATCATCATGGAGCATCACATTTGGTTGTTGCCATTGGCCACCACCTCTAGCCACTACTATCAAATGTTGGTTGCATAACATCTTAAGTTTTAATCATTGAGTAAGATTTATAGGCAATTTTGAGGCATAAAAAGAGAACTTTTTTAGGCATAGAAAATTATTTAGGAATTTAATTATGCTATATTTAGATACACATGAATTTTGATTTGTTTTTAGATTTAAGCCAAATCTATTGTTTGGATAATTAAAAATGTATGGATTTAGAAATTAAAGTTCTCTCTTAATATCTTTGTAATTTGAAATCCTTTTTAAACTCCAATTATTTCAAATTTTAAATCAAGCTCTTTTATACTTTGACCCAAATGCATAAAGGTTTGATCAACTTACTAACGGTAATTGAACTGAATTGCCAAAATTTATAGAAACAAGCTGCCACCGTTGATTGGGATGAGATGGCCATCTTCCATTAAGGTCGAACCGATTACTATGATAGGGATTGGACCGTCGACTTCCATCTGGACCGGACCAACAAGATGGTCCCGGTGGAAGTCGACGGTCCAGTCCCCATTGTCGCGGTCAATTCAGTCCCAGTGAAAGTCGACAATATGATCTCGATGGAAGTCAACTGTTCAATCCCCATTGCCGCCATCGGTCTTGTCCTTGTGGAAGTCTACCGTCTGGTCTAGTCGTCGCTATTAGTTTGGTGTTGGTGAAAGTCGGCCATCCAGTCCTAGTGGAAGTTGGCCATCCGGTCCTAGTTGAAGTCGGTCAACTTTGTCCTGATGGAAGTTGAAGGTCTTTGTCCTAATCGTGACTAGTGCCACAATGCCAGTCAACTTTGTTTTTCTGATCCCGTTGTAAGTTGGCCATTTGAATTGTCAAGTTTGACTAATCTTTTAAGTTTCTTTTAAATTCAAATATAGAATTTGAAATTTAAAATTTTACTTTAGATCCAAACAAAGGATTTTAATATTATAAATTAAAATTTTTTATATCATTTAAACAAAGAATTTAGAATCTATAAATTTCAAATATGAGGTTTTAAATTTAAATTTTTAACTTAAATCCACCCATCCAAACACAGCCTTAAGGATGTTTTGAGGAAAATTAATGTTAATGAGATTGGGCTCCCTGCCTTTTTGGAGAAAAAGCCTAATATTGAAGCCCAATGTGGCTCTCACTAAGTAAAGTAGAGAGGGGTTAAATTAGGTCATATGAGAGAGGTTATATTTAAGAATGAGCTATAGTCATTCGAAAGAGAAGAAAAGAAAGTTATTTTCAAATCTTCACAAGGAATCTTGGTAAATCAACACTTGCAAATTCATTAACTATTAGATCAAGTTGAAATTTGATCAGCGTGTTCTAACACCCAACTTGTCATTTTCAATGGTTGGATCATTGATTCATTGTCTGATGTGAGAGCTATTCACCTCATCATTCATAGCTATTTTTGCATCTTCACTGGGTAGTCTCAGTAAATCAACATTTGCCAAGTCGTTAACCATTAATCAAGTTGAAATTTTGTCAATAAGTTTGTAACATTCAAATAGTCACTTTTAACGGTTAGATAATTGGTTTTTAGCCTAATGTGAGAGTTATTCACTTCATTATTCATATGAGATTTGCCTAGATTAATGAGACTAATTAGTCTAACCCTAGGATTAGTAACAGATTAATGTTAGGTACTATAATTAGTTATAATTAATGTGTTACTGTTAGTTAATATAATTGTGTTGGGTAAATTGTGTTGTGGACACTGTTTCTTTTACCCAAAAAAATGTATCGGAATGAGTTTGTCATTCCCCCACATTTCACTCCAGTGGGGCAGAACAGCTATTCTCATTATTATCATTAATAGCAAACAATACATAATTAAATTTTAATTAAATTAATATATTGGTCTGAGTTTGTCATTCCCCCATATTATATAATATTTTTTCTTAATTTTAACTCAGCTAATTTATCTTTTATCTTTTTATTTTTATTTTTATTTTAAATAATTAATATATTAATTTAATTATGATTGAACCCCATTCGATTATTCAACGGTGAATTTAAAATGTAAACATATTTAATGAGATAAACTTGATCCAATTTAATTAAAATTAATCGCTTAAACTTTAATGGGCTCTACAGTTCAACATCTAACCTGTATTGCAAAACGAATTAAAACTCCATTAGTGCTAGACAATAAGACGTGCCAACAAGAATGATGTAACGCACAAAAAGAAAAACTACTTCCATTCCTTATTATAAGAAACAAAATTACCTACTTTACACATGTCAAATAGTTAAAATTAGTTAATATCCGAAAATTAATTCCATATTTTCTATTCATGGAGCGTGCTCATCATCATTTCCATCTTTTCATTGGGTCAAATCCTTCGATTCATAAACTTAATATAAACTTGAGGCTAAAGTGTTGAAATTGGGGGACCATATATAAAGGTATAATCTATTGTCCATTTTTGAAATATATACCAAGGTTTGTGAAGCCATAATTAAAAAAATTCTGAAATTGTGATTTTAATATGGAATCTCCAACCCAAATTTGAATTGTTTTATGTCAAATAGACCAAACTCCATTGCAAGTACTAAGTGGTGCTTCCAAGTGCCAATACTAAGGTGCAAAACAGTCATCCACATTATTTGTAATAAATCCATAATTCTTTGAGATGGACATAAACCCAACTTAAATGGATCGCTTGAATGCTAACCGACTTCACCAGTCACCATCTAACCCATATTCCAAAATTTGATTAATTAAGATTCAATTTGAGGAAGCCCACAATAAGGAATGCCATCAACAAGTATATCAAAAAAACCAATCAAGTTGAATATAGTAAAAAGGTTAGTTTCTCTTAACATGACAAATCAAAGTTTAAATTTCTATTAGGAGAGATACTCACATTTAAATAATGTCTTAAAAAAATTGTTTTTAATAGGTAGATACCTGTGCTGTCGATAAAAAAAACAAAAATATCAAAAGTAATGTACAAACAATGGAAACCTCACTGAATACACTTCAACAGCTTTGGCACGAAAGATCTAGCTTCGGAACTTGGGCTTCATCCTTCTATCACCATTCAAGTTATATTAATAATTAGAACTTTTTATGAAGTTCCTTATCCAAGCCTTATATATAATTTTCCCAAAAAAAAAAAATTCCTTAATTACAATGTCAATAGAGCAAAGCAATTACAGTCCAAAGATAGGGCAGGTTTGGTTTCTATTCTTATTTTTTTATTTCTAAGAACTATTTTATAATATATTATTTTTCAAAATTTAACACAAATGAAAATTCATTTGATTATGCTAATTTAAAAACAATTTTAGAATTAAAAATAGGTTGATAATGATGATTGCATACGATTAAGGATAATGATTTACGATAGAAATTAATCAAACTAATTATATTTTTTAATAATAAAATGTAATATATTTTGAAAACTAAAAAATAAAATAAAATAAATTTAAATATTTCTATTTTTTATTTTTAGAAAAAAATAAGAATAGTCTTAAAAACAATTAAATCCAAAATATTTTTTCTAATGAACTTTCTAAATTTTTGTTTTTTAAAAATAGAAAATAATTTTTTAAAAAAAGAAACCAAACATGCCCTAAAATTTTTTATTACTAAAACCGAAATTAAATCATGAAATTTAATAAACTCAAATCAATAGCACATTAAATAGCACGAAAACGAAGGAGGAGTGGAATCAAATCAAACAGAATCCTCTTGTTGACTGATATATGGACTATGAGGTTAAGCAAACAGGTTCTTGTTGGCCCAAATATCAGGTGTGCATAGGCACTACCCAGATCTATGAATGAGAGTTGGCCCGGCTCTTATTGGCTTGACCTTTAAAAGATTCAAATAAAACCTATAAATCTATATATTTTAAATTAATCACATTTTTTCAAGCCTAGTCTATCTTGGCAGAATTTAGGATTGCGTCTGAAAGCTTGCACAATTTAGTTTTTTTTTTCCTATTTAAATCTCTAATCATGTTGACACATAATTTAAGAAATTACATCATTTTTATATATTAATTCAAAAATAAAAATATGCTAAACAATTTCAATTTCATTATTTTGCAATATTAAATATTTCAATTAAATAATCTTTAACAACTTCAAAAACATGATAACTGAAAAAAAAAGATATATAATTATATAAATACAAGACTTAAAAGAGTTAGCCCAAATCCAAACCCTTTTTTCAAGATCGTATAAGGGTAGGGTTTAAAAGAGAAAATAAAACTTTCCGTGTTTTCAAGCTTGATTCTTCAAAAATATAGGATGTAAATGGGTAAATTGAAGGGTTCAGCCCTTAATGATAGCCTTAGTAAAATCATAATCGACTTCACTGGTCACCATCTAACCCGTATTGCAAAACTGATTAAAATTCAATTAGTGGAAGGCAAGTATAAGAAATGCCATGCCTTAAAATGTCAACAGTAACTTGCTAAGAAAAGAGGAACGACAAAAAAACAATCTTATTACTCATTATGGTCTCTGTTAACTCCGCAAAGTTCCTTGTAAACTCCTGGGGTTGTTATGCATTTCACCAGTGAGTCACTAAATAAAAAATATGATCTCTGTTAATATGGGAAAGAATATCAATGGTAACTCAAAAAAGAATAAAATGGATGGGGAAAAAAATATACCTTGATATATATAGCATGCATTGTTCTCAATTGACTCCAGAGTTTGTTGAATGATCAACGCAAATGAGAGCATAAACGTCTTCAACTATGCTTGGGATAACATCATGTTCTTCCCTACTCAATTACAAGTATCCATTAAGAATCAGAAAGTAAACAAGCTAAGTCAAAATTTGATTACAATGCAATATTACAAAACAGTTGATCTAGGGAGCATTTCTGAAGGGGTCGAGCACTACGGTTGCGCTCAGTGATGATTCTATAAGAATGCAAATAAATGGGATCAATACCTCATCTTGACCCAAAAATTTTAAGTATTAAATATACAAGTCTTTTGTGCTTATGAATATCTTTTATAACTCAAGTGAGACTTATCCGCATCAAGTCAAATACACTCAATCATATTTGATCTTCCAACATTTACATGTAGCACAAGTGTTTGAAATAAATTCTTTTCTTCTATTTCCTAAATAAAATGAGTCAAGGATGTGATTTATGTAGCTATGTCTGTGCGCGCGCGCGCGCATTTATTGGAAAACTTGTAGTAAACACCTAATAAAATCTATTTTTGAGTTTAAAGAAAGAATAGAGACGTACCCTTCTTTCAAGCTTCGACCATGCACATGAGATACTTCAGACAGAGCCAACTTCCACCTCTGCACCTTTTCCATGCTATCCATGAATTTGCATTCGTGGTCGGCCAATGCTGATCCAAAACTTCCTGTTTGATATTTCACGTCTGAAGGATCTACATCATAGAAAACTGGCAAAACCACTTTGTCATTTGTTTCAATGCTATCAAGGATCCTTGCAAGCGTGTCAAGACACCATGGAGAATATGCATAGTATTCAGAGAATACAATAACAAAAATGCTGGACTCTTCAATTGCTCTGAGCACTGGTGGGCAAAAATCTTCCCTGCATCCGGAGCTCCAAACATCTTTGAAAGCTTTAATCTTGCTCTCATATAGAGCATCATATAGATTGTCCACGAAAATGTTGGATCGTTTCGTTTCTCTATAACTCAGGAATACGTCATGTCTTGGACGTCCTTGCATGCGCAAAAGATGATATATATTACGGCCATCACTGCCAATCATGGATTGAGCTAACGCGAAATGCATCTTTACTGAATGTAAACCAAAAAAGAAAAAAAACCTTGATAACGGATAGTGTTCTCAGTGGACTTTGCAGATCTCATTTGATGTTCACAACAATTGCCACGAGAGACTTCTTCAACAATGCGTGGGATAATTGCATCAAATTCTTCCCTGCTCAGTTACAAGTATTCATTAATGAACACAAACTAAACAATAATTCATCAAAATTTGAATCCAATGTTATTCTTTTTCTCAATTAAAAGGAAACCATTATATTATTAAACAACGGAGAACGCGGGTGGAAGGGGCTTCATTCTTGTAAATTCTCACGAAATGAGAAAAATTCATTAAAACCTCAAAGGATTTAATAGAATTACAATTTGAATGTATTTACAGTCGGAGCTCACTTATACATAATTAAATAAATCAAATGCAACATATTTGATAGTTATATAATAAAAGTGACAAATAAAAAAGGCACTAAATACTTGATAGTTGTTTCAAAACAACTATCAAGTATTTGAACCTATACTTGATGATTATATAGCAATAACTGTCAGATATATATATATATATATATATACATACTTGACTGTTTTCTCTAAACAAGCATCAAATACATAATTTTTAAAAAATTGAAAAATATATATATACTTGATGTTTCTTGTGAAAAAAGTGTCAAGTATGTTTGGAAGATACTTGATGGTTATTTCACAATAGGTTGTCAAACTTGCTTGACGTAAAGTATGTAATATTTGAATAACCGTCAAGTATTATGTTTTAAAATTCCTCCATAATCCTTTCCTTCTTCACATTCCTGCAAGTTGAACATCATCAGAAACATACCCAGATCGCTCAAAACCTATATTTCGTCACTCCAACAGCCAAAACACACAATTTCACACTTGATTTATTGTGGATTTTGGATTTTCGAACTCAATCATGCTCATGTGAGTGGGTTCATTACTCTAATGGTTGCCATTTCTCCATTTTCAACTTCTTCTCTTCTTGAGGTTGTTTCATGCTTTTCCAATCATTAATCCTCATTTTGAGTTCATGGATTGTTAATTTTGATTTAAATACGCAATGGGTTATTCAAATATTGATTATTTTGTCTCTTCATTGGTGTTCTTGTTAGTGGTTTTTTGAAATTTAGAGTTTTGGGTACTAGATGGTGCTTGTTATGCAATTGAATGATTAATTTATATTTTTACTGCTTGAATTGTTAATTCTTACATTGCTAGTGTTTGAATTGATTAACATTGGCTCATGTGGATATAATTTTGAATTTTTAAGTTGATATTATACATATAGTGTTGATGTGACTTATATGATTCTCATTAAAATTTGACTTCTTATTGATTGTTACTGCTATTGTTGGATTATATATAATCTTTGTTGTTGTTGATACCATGGCTTTTTTTCTAAGGGCATAAAGCCCACATATATATGCAAGTAATGTCCTAGCTTTTACCATAAACACTTAACACTTATTTCTAAATAACTATCAAATACTTGCTTACAGATCTGCTTAAAAGGCAAATATAAAACTATATACTTAACTGTTATTTCAAATAATTGTCAAGTAACATTCCAAATAAAATTGGATGTAATATATGGTGAACCTTTACATGACGATTAATAGCCATCAAGTGTTAGTCAAAATAATTGTCAAGTAAGGAAGATATTTGTATGCAAGTAGTATGCCTTTTTATTATAGAAACTCATAACAAACACCCGAGAAACTCCTTTTTTTTTTTTTAAATTTCAAAGAAAGAATTAAAGTAGAGACATACTGTTGTTTGATGCTCCAACCATGCATGTGAGCTGCTTCACACAAAGCCAACTTCCGCTCGTACTCCTTTGTCTCATCATCATCATTGAGCATGCTTTCATACTGGGCCACTGTTAAATGAAGACTTCCTGTTGGATGGACGCCTGAAGGATTTACTTTGTAGAAAACTGGCAAAACCAATTTGCCCTTTGTTTTCATATCATTGATGATCAAAACAAGTGTGTCAAGACACCAAGGAGAAACACCATAGGATGAAGAGAATACAATAATTGAAACCCTAGACTCTCTTAATGCTTTGAGCTGAGTTCGACAATTATGTTTCCCCAATTCCAAGCTCTCAACATCTTTGAAAACATTAATCTTACTCTCATGCAGAGCATTGTATAGTTTGTCAGCCAAAATGCTGGAATCTTTTGCTTGAAAACTCAGGAATGCATCAGGTCTCAATCCTTGTGCAAAAGAAGATAACATTATGGTCATTACAGCCAATTTTAATAGTAAAAGTACAAATTCCACCGGCAAAAGATAGATGCAACAGGCTTATGATCATATAAAAGCTTCAAAATTTTATAATTCACATATATATTGGTGTATGAACGAACACTGGGTACAATCATGTAACTAACGCCATCTATATGCATGTCTTCGGCGAACGAAATAAATTCTGCGGTATCTTAGTAGCTAGTAAACGCTCATCATTAAGTGATTTACTTATTCCATTTTTTTCTATATAGAAAGAGTTTTTAGAGGCTTGCTAGAAAGACATGATGTGATTAACTAGGTGATTCAGTTTATAATTTTTCCCAAATAATGGTTCCGCTTGCAGAATAATCATGTGTTAAGCTACAAGAGATATAAACCAAGAGAACAAATATTGCCAAAGTATTACCTGTGTTGAATGCATAATAGAAACGCACAGCAGAACATAATTAAACAATAGGGTAAATTAAAGAATATAAATGGCAAAGCACAAAGAAATAAGGACAATATAATATAAATATATACCTGGTTTCAAAAACCTGATATTTTCATACTTCATTTCTTGATTGCATATAGTAGCCCCTAAATAAATCTGGGTATCAACTTTCTCTATGGGTGTATTTTTCCTGATGAAAATCTCCACATGATTCCAGCTATTCCACTTTGATGATAGAGAGAGATCAGCCTTGCTAATAATGCTGTACAAATCATATATATATAAATGATTAACCTTTGATAATGTTGGCATTGAGAACCACTGATTAGAAGGAAATTTCGGGCTAACGCCATCTATCAACACGGAGAGAGGATACAGGTCATCTTTAACAAGAATCCATATGAGAATCATTGGGAACTCTTCACGAATCCAAAAGGATAGAGAGGAATTGTGGCCGACAATATCGAGGTATTCTAGCATCATCTCCCCTTGTGGAAAAACATAGTTTCTTTTCCCTTGGTGGGAGAGTGCCTGCCAATTACACATTACCAAAAAAAAAATGATAAATGATAAACACAAGTAACAAATTAAAATAACATAATGAAAGAAACAAATAGAGACCTGATCCAATACTCTGACTTTAGAAATCATGGTCAACGATGTGCAGCTTATGGCGCTAAATTTTTCTAGGTTTGGTGGCATCCCTAAAGTATGTCGAAGCTGCTTGCAATTATCGAGGATAAGATATTTCATATGGTAACATTCTTCAATGCATGCAGGAAGAGCTATGAATTCTCCACAACTAAGATCTAATTGTATCAAATTTGGGAAGTAAGAAAGACATAGTGCAAGAGCGTCATTTGGCATATTGCAATTTGAAAAATAGAAATATTGCATTTTTGAAGACACAATCCCACAGTCTGTGCTTTCTTCTTCTCCATCTTCACATATCTTCACATATCTCATCTCATGACAAAGATTTGTGCAAAGTGACCAAAGGTTTGGCAGCTTGAAAATGCTAGCTGGTATTTGCTTAAAATGATGACACTCCTCCATGTTTAAAATTTCAAGCCCAGTGAGATTGCAAATTGAAGATGGAAGATCTACAATGGCTGTCCTATCCAAATCAAGTGTTCTCATCTTTGTCATTGTCACCAATATTTCTGGCAAATATTGTAGACTTGAACATCCGTATAGGTTGAGATGTTCAAGTGATGTCATGCTAAGTCCAAGTGGCAATATTATTAAGTTTTTGCATCGCATAGCACTCAATTCTCTAAGTTTATTTAAACATCCAACTGAATCATGAATTTCAATTAAGTTTGAACAATCATCAAGACATAATTCTGTTAAATTAGAAGCTCCTGATAAGTCTGGTATCCTCCGTAAGAGTTTACAACTTTTAAAATTCATGTGTCTTAAACTCTCGAACTTCTGCAAAACATTAATAATTTTTTTAAATTACAAAAACAAAAACAAAAACAAAAACATAGTTCTAATCAAGTATGCTTACCTTATTAAATGATTGGAGCAATTCAACACAGCTGTAAGACAAATCAAGATAGACAAGTTCTATCGGACAAAAATCATGTGGCAAAAATCTAAAGGGATACTTCTTCCACTCCAAACACCTTAAACTATGAGGGAGATATTTGGGGCCTTTAGAAAAGCACGCATTCTTTATCACAAGCATTTTGAGATTCATCATCTTCATGAATGCGTTTCCACTCCATTGTACTTCTTTAACTTGAGGTAAATCTAGAAGTATGGCCTCAATTTTATTAGTTCCCTGTAAAAATGAAAAGCATATAATGAATTTTGAACCTTAGATATGTACCAAACAATAAACATGATTCAATTTTTAATGAAAAAGAAAATGAATATTGGTGATCTTACTGTGTCATGTTGTAAGACTTGAAGAATGTCTCGATAGAACCATAGTCTGCTACGTTTACCAGGCTCATCTTGTGATTCTCGACGAACAATCTCTTTACCCATGTCTTCTATCAAGCTATGCATTATCACACAATCTCCTTCAATCTTTATGAGAGATTTATCAATGAGCACTTTGATAGCATATTCCGATTGGATTTCACGAAGGCATAGCAACATACCTCTAACATCATCCAATTTCTTACCATTGAAGAAACAAGCCAAGTCAAGGAAAACTTTTTTCTCAAATTCTCCTAAAGCATCATAGCTTAATTGTACGGCTTCTAACACTCTTTCATGAGGTATTGCTTTAAACTGATCCAAGGCAAAACTCCATTGATCAACTCCTTTACCACATAAATTAGAGCCGATAACTTCTAAAGCTAATGGGAAGCCACAGGAATAAAGTATTGCACGATTAGAAACTTCAACGAAGTCAGACTCTACATTCTCCTTTTTAAAGGCATGCCAACTGAGCAACTGAAGAGATTCCTCTTCATTTAACTCCCTAACATCATAAATGCTTATATCATGAGCATGGCTTACTAACAATTGCTTATTGCTTGTTGTGATGACAATTCTACTTCCTAAACCAAACCAATCACAACTCCCAGCTAGTGCTTCTAATTGTACCAATTCATCAACATCATCAAGAATCAAAAGAATTTTCTTCCGACTAAGCCTACGTTCTATTATTGGTATTCCTTCATAAAAATCACCCAGTTTAAGATCTTTCTCCATGACTAATTGACGGAGTAAAGTCTCTTGAAGATGTGGCAAACCATTTGGCATGTGGGACTCTTTTCTTACATTAGAAAGAAAACATAAGCCTTCAAAATGATCAGCTATCGAATTATACAAGGCTCTTGCAATTGTTGATTTACCTATTCCACCAACGCCCCAAATCCCTACCATTTTAGTTTCCTTAACAGAAAAAAGCTCTAAAAGTGAGATCACTTCTTTCACGCGAGGCACAAGTCCAACTGGATAACGGGTAATGTGTAAGGGATCATGATTAATCTTAGTAGAGACTTCATTAATGATCTCTCTAATGCAGTCTTGTTCTTTTGCAATCCTGACCAATTCATAAAAAAGTCACTTGTAGTCATCTAACAAATTAATATACTCCACTTTTAGTCAAAAAAACTCTGCTGGCTTCCCTTTTCATACTAATAGAAAAAAGTTTCGTTCGTCATTTCAATGATTAAACAATAGGTAAGTTAAATTAGTAAAAGCTCTAAATACTATAATTTCAAACCCAAACCCAATTATTAGAAAAATTTAATTTTAGCTGACAAGTGATGCATGTCCATATATGTAATTGTATTGTTATGTATATGACTATCAAAATAATAACGTAAATTAATAGATTTTAATTAATTGAAGAGCACCTTTGCATACTGGGGGAAGTATACAGGGCATGCGCAACTACTGTTTCTATCATCGCAAAAAGCACATTTTGCAAGGGCTATGTATATTGTAAACACGAAATAATGGAACCACTCTCGGCCAAGTTTTCGTTATCAATTATCGTCTTGGATATATATGATAGTAATACAGTAATTATGCATGCACAATTTTTTCATCCTGTTAGATGCATTTCTTAATTAAAATAATACCCAAAAGGTTTGAAAAAACAAACAAGAAAATGAGGGAGAGAAACATACTTGGGTTTGAGATGACAGCCTTTCAAGTTAGCTGCTTGGGACAAAGCCAACCTCCATTTTTCCACCTTCTGATCCTTGTTGTCTTTGAATCGTTCCTCCAATTTTGCCAATGCTTCTGCATAACTTCCTCTCGGACATCGAAGCTCCGAAGGATCCACATAATAAAAGACTGGATATATCACCCGGCCTTCCTCTTTGAAACACTCTAGAATCTTTTCAAGTTCTTTCAAGCAAAAGGTCGAGTTTGCATAGTTTTCAGAGAATACTATGATAGCTATTCTAGATTCTTGTATGGCTCGGAAAAGTGCAGGTGTGATTTCTTCACCAGTTCTGATGCCTTCATCATCGATAAAGGCATGAATTCCACGTTGGCGTAGAGCTTCGCGGAGATAGCCAATGAAACCCAAGCGAGTATCTTCACCATGGAAACTAAGGAAAACGTCGTAAGTCCATTTGTAAGTGATGGAAGAAGATCCCACTCGCTGTGCCATGATTATTGCTGCGTAGTTCGCGGCTAATCTTATTTGAGTCTCATAGCTGAATTAACACAACAGAAGCGTACGTAGAGCGAAGCAAGAAGAAATCCCACTGGACTCGAAAGAAATGTCCCATAAAGCTGTGAGAATGATTGGGACCTCTGAGAGAGCTAATCTTAGCAGACTTGGCTAGGCTCAAAAATGGCGAAAGCGTTGAATAAACCAAGAAGAGATCTGACAGGACCGGAGAGAACGAAGGATATTAAAGAGCAACTCAATAGTCGAGGACATGTTAATATACAACAACGAAGCTTCCGCCATGTCTCTTTCCTACCCATATATTCTTTGGGCTTCGATGTTTTTAAAGACCAGCGAGACTTGGAGAGTAATGTTTCAAGAACCCAATCAGACCATATAAATCTTACCATCTTACCACATGTCTGGAGTTTTCTTTCAGTCTCTTCATTTAATTTAGTTTCTTTTAAACACTTTAATTTTCAAAATAAAAAGGTTCTCAATTTCTAGTACTATTAATCGTGTTAACGAAAAATGATGATAAAACAATCTTAAATGCTGATAGAGAATTTCCTAATGCAAACATACACTTTTTTTTTCTGGCAACTCTTAAAAAAAGGTATACTCATTTAAGATTGTACTCTGTTTGACAATCTTAGATGTCTGGAGTAAATGCAACTCTTAGCTTTTCTTTGTTTTTTTTTTTTGGCATCTATTGAAAAAAATATATTGAGTTGGATTTTTTCTTACAATAAATGGGTTAAAATTGTATTATCACCATAGGCTTCACAACTATTCCATATTAGCATATAACAAAGAAAATGAGGGATGAAGAATAATTTTGCTACTGAAACAAATTGTTTAAGGGGATATTACCATAACATTAAATACAAGGTATTCTCAGCTTCCCAAAAAAAAAAAAAGTTTAGAAAAATAAAAAATCTTTAACCCTTAAAAAAGTATATTTGAAACCAAAAGCATGTTTAAGTCTACAAAAGAATACCTCTTACCCCTGCAAGATGCTTGAGTTTTGTGACATTTAACTTTTTTTTGTTTTTGGAGGCAGTGGTGTTGCTTTTATTTTATTTATTTTTTAACAGCGAGGACTATTAAAGATTAAATAACCTCGTGATTCGTGAAGGATAATTAAACAACGCTGCCACTTTATATTTATTAACGCCGTGCAAACCAAAGCATGGATGTTCCGGCAATCGTACTGCAATTTTTCAAATTTCAAGGAAACAAATTCAATAATAAAAGAAAAATCAACCACCGGCCAAAACGAAGATAATATGCCAGTGGTTCTTATTATTATTATTCGAGTGAAAGAGAAATTGACTCTTAAATTATCAATTTAAAAAAATTTGTGATTCTAAATTTATTTTTTATATAATATTTTTTTTATTTTTAAAAATGATATAATTTAACTCCTGCAATTACTAAAAGTCAATTTTAATAATTAGTTGATTAGAAAGTAATAAAAATTATAATAAATGATTTAAAAATTATAAAAAATGATAAAAAAAATTTATCAGTCCTTTTTAAAAACTTTTCAAGTCTTTTTTTGTCATTTTCGATCAACTAAAATTTAAAATTAACTTTTATTAATATAAAGATTAAATTATACTGTTTTTAAAAATTAAAAAGTGTGTTAGACCAAAAATGAATTTGAATCCTATATGCTTTTAAATTTATAATTGAAAAATTAATTTCTCTTTTACCTTTATTATTATTATTAAAATTAAAGCACAACCACTCACCATACTGGTGGTGGTGGCGGCCTGGTAAGTGACTCGGAAAGACGCGAAAATACGGGAAATAAGAAAAGCAATATTGATTTTTTTTTTAATCAGGTTGAGTTCCACTTTAAAGAGGCTCATATTAAAAAAAAAAAAAAAGACATAATTTATAAGACTAGAGTCTAGAGGATTTTTTCACTCGACGGTCGAATCAGTCACTCATTGGAACCTTATGCTTGCGTTATATGATTGAAAACTACTTTTACTGTTCACACGAGACTAATGCACAATTGTGACAGCAAGGAGAAAATATAAAAAGAGGGAGTGGGAATTAAAATATACTCTTTTAATCCTATTTATAAGATAGAAATAAAAAAAATTAATCTTATTTATAAAAAACTTATCAATTGTCAATATTACTCTTTACATTTTTATTCTTATTAAATACTTTGAATAAAAATATCAGTAGTGAGATTTATAAATATTTATTAAGGGTAAAGGTGAAAACTTATTAAATTTTAAGATAAAATTAATGAGATTTAAAGTTTTTAAATTTTGGTGAAACATATTGGAAGTAACTTATAAATAAAATTAAAAAAAGTATATTTAACTTTAACTTTTTGTTTAAAGCCAGAAAATTTTAGCAAAGCTTTAACAATAGTTTATATTTGATAGTTATTATTTCTTTACTTTATTATTACTTAACTGACCTTTAACTTTATTATAACATACTCTCTCTGATTTTATTTATAGGATAGAGAAAGAAAAATTTTTTTGTTCCTATTTATAAGTCATGTCATTAAATTTTTATTTCAATTTTTTTTTACCCTTCATTGAATTTTGAGAAGAGAAAATATGTTAGTAAAGTATGTATACTTAATAGAAAAAAAGTTGAGAAATTATTAAATTTTAAAACAGGGTCAATGAGTTTTAAAAATTTTTTTGATACTAGTAAAATATATTAGAAGTGACTTATAAATAGAAGTAAAATAGTATGTATGTTTGGTACCTAATGTTTATTAGTACTTTTAAATCACTCTTTGCTTCCTTTTATCTTTTTTTTATTTTATAAAATATTTTTTTCCTGTCCCTTTTATATATAAAAGACTTTCAATCACCTGAAATCAAGAAAAAATGACTAACTTATTAAATCTGCCTTAAAGTTAAAAATTAATATTCAAGAAACCGTATAGAAACACTAAATTATAATTAAATTCTTCTTTTAACAATTTACTAACTAAGGTTGAAAATGAAAAATATTAATTAATAGTCCTCTATGTGATTTATATTAAAAATGAAGGATTTTTTTCAGAAAGTATAATATAATAAGAACATAAGGGAGTAATTTGTAGTTTTTTCTTTGGTAGACAGTATTTGGTTTTATATATGTGTGTGTGTGTGTGTGAATATTTAGTATTTGGTTTTAGGCCGTCCACTCAATGTCTCTTACATCTCATTTTTAATAGCTTTTTGGATAAAAAAAATCTCATTTTTAATTTTGAGCTATCCAAAAAAAAAAAAAAAGGGGCGGGGGCAACTTATGCTCTCAACAATACAAGACATATCACGTATAATCATTATACGAAACCAGAGTCCACTGCTCAAGTTAAAACAGAGGACAAAAATAGATGAAGCATTTGAGAGCATTGGAATGAGGAAAATTGAAGAATCAGAATGAAAATGTGATTTCAGGGATTGAGTAGTATTGTATTAATAGAACTTCTTTCAGAAGTTGCTGATTCCTCCAACACAACCACGTTTCAATTCAGGGTTACAAAATTGTTCATAATCTGCTCTATGTCCTGCTTTTACTATGCATTCTCATTCCTCAAAACGCTTCGTTTCTTACTATACGCATTCTCATTCCTCATAGCTTTGCCGATTGTAAAACAAAAATGGGGTTCATACCTCTTTAATTAATTTGTACGTATAAAAATTATTACAAATTTACACACACACACACACGACGACAAATATTAGGATTTACTAATTACTAACATCACAGGATGATTATTGATATAATTAATGAAAACCCTTTTGCCACATATATATGATGATTGGTGACGGATATATAGTGGGCCACAAATATTGGTATGAATATGCAATTTCTAAAAGTTCACCACTTTCGCTGGTGAAGCATTTTATGCATAGCGTTGAAAGTTTCTCTTTGGTCAGAGACCTTTCGGTTCCAGCAATTTGAGCATTGCAAACTTGAATAATATTTGAATTGAAATCTAATTTGTTTCAACAAAAATGCACACTCTAATAATTTAAAACGACTGTTAAAACAACAAAGTGATTAAATCCAGACTAAGATCCTTTCCCCGCTTGCAGTCTTCTCTCTTAATCTTCATGTGGCTTGGCTTGCCTGTCACTTCATTCTTCATCTCCAGAACCCTTTGTTTTTCTTTTTAATCCGACTTCGTGATCAAGAACTAAAAAATGATACTTATTCGATATGTGTATTCATATTTATAAAAATACATAAAAAATATTTAAAATATAATTTTAGTTTAGAAAACATCCAAACTAGTTATACAGAAGTATCATATACATATCAAATATTTAAAAAATAACATTCTGATACTTTAAAGATATGTATCAAAAAACTATTAGCGAGTATCAATAACAAATATGCTACCATTACGAACACATTAGGCAATTTGAAATATCAATGTTTCATAGGTGCCACCACATCTGTTGCTTGCATTACTTCTTACTTAGCCATCAACCTGTAACTTGAATAACTCTTCACCATGCTTGCATTATATCTTTTGGGTTGAAAAGGGGGCTATTATTCATTATATCCGTATCCATAAAAGCTCTAAACAGACTATACATGCCATCCTGATTATCCCTATGTATATTAGAGCCAAAAACAAGGTTGAATCTAGTTACCCAAGTATGTATCCCAACATATATTCAAAGAGAATCGCCCTAGGAATTCTCCTTGTGAGTTCCTTTCCTACTTCGTTCTTTACCCATGATATTTCAGAAAAAAGTATTTTATGATACTAAGATACTGAATATAAAAGGTATAAATCACTTTGCAAAAGTAAAGTTTAATCTGTAAAGTGTTAATTATTTTACTTTAAATATATTTTTTTAATTTTAAAAAAATTCAAATTTACAATATTTATCAGGGATAGGGATAAAAATTAAAAAAAAATTAATGATGTAATTGTTTTTTTTATTTAAATGAAATGATTGGAAATGACTCGCGTTAAATTGTAGAGCGAGCACCCCAACTTGCTCCACACAATGCCCCCTCATGAT